TTACTTGAGCTGAGAGTAGTTTTTTGCCTTCCTTGGATGGATCCATTAAAATGGGAGATGAAATGTCCAGTTTCATTTTTGGTCAACTCATGTATTAAACTTAAGGCCATCTGCTGGATTTATGAATGCATAAGTATATGTGGCTTCAGTCTAATTCTGTTCTGAATCCTGCGAAAGAAACACTTGCATCAGATGTGTCAAGAGTACTCTATTATACTGTCATTAAAATGTACATACATTCCTGTGTAGTCAGGTACCACTGAACGTGGAAGGAAATAAAGTATTAAATAAGACACTCCGTTAAACCTGGCTTGCATTTTTTCACAGATATATAAATTGTGACAGGAATACCTCAGAGGAGGGTAGGTTAATTAAAAAAAAAAAGAATTTGGTTTAAACCAGTTGAGAAACTCTTATCTAAAACTAGGTTTCTTCAGTATCTCTTATGCTCTTGGCATATTGGGTAAGCATGGCAGTTTAAACTCAGCCAGAAACTAAGTACTGCACAGCTGCTTGCTTACTCCCCTCCACTTCCAGCTGGAGAAATTTTTTCAATTTTTACAAAAATGTAAAAACCCATGCGTTAAGAACAGTATAGTAACTGAAATATGACCATCATCATCATCATCATCATAGGAAATAGAGTGAGAGAGGAAGGAATAAACCCCACCCCTTAGGAAAAAAAACAAGTGATGCACAATGCAATTTCTCACCACCCGCTGACTTGTACCCAGCCTGACCTGAGCAGCATCGGTGCCTTCCAGGTAACTCCCCCCAGTTTATATACTGGGCATGATGTGCTGTGGTATGGAATACCCCTTTGGCTAGTTTAGGTCAGTTGTCCTGTCTCTGCTTCCTCCTGACTTCTTGTGCCCCTCCTCAGAGAGCACAAGAGACTGAAAAGTCCTTGTTCAATAAGCAACAACTAAAACACTGGTGTGTTGTTAGCATTGTTCTCAGACTAAAGCTGAAGCACAGAACTGCACCAGCCACTAGGAAGAAAAATAACTATCCCAGCTGAAACCAGGGCAGTAAGATAGTTGCCAGGATAGAGGTCAGTGTGGCAAACCCATGCTTAACATTTTCAGAGTCAAAAGCCAATTGAACAACCTCTCAGCATTTTGGCTCTTATTTGAAGCTGTTCTTTTCAGGTGTCTGTACTTTGTACCTCTCTGTCTGGAGATTTTGCTTTTAAATTGGTACTGTTTTCACAGAATCATAGCAGGTTATGTTGCAGTGGTGCTGTAAAGCAGGGCCAACTATTCTTAAATATTTCTGGCAGAAATTAGTCTAACCTGTTTTTAGAATATCAGTCTCTTAAAGGACATCTGCAGTAATAAAGGACAATTTTTAACCTGAAGTGATGTGTTATGGTGCATAGTCTTACATTACAGTATTTTGCTTTAGAACAGAATGTTTCTGTTTAATGGCCATCTAGGACAAATGCCAGCTGGTCATCTAGTCCAACTGCCTGCTGCTCACGATGGGTTAAGCTCTGCCCCAGCCACCTTTCTTTTCCCACTGGCATTTTTTTACTGGGGTAAGGCCTGTGTTGAAACACTGGTGTGTTCCTTTGAGGGTACCTGTTCCTTTGAGGTTACCTACTAATTTAGTACATGCAGGTGAATGGAGATACATCATTGCTTTCAGTGAAGCAGATTAAGTCTTCTTTGATATGACAGTCTATCTACAAATTCAAGAATTTATGTAGTCCTTCATTTTCTTAAACTGTATACCTCTGCGTATTGTTGGGTTGACACTATAGTCCATCCTTTGATTTTAGCAAAGCTCCTTGTTAAACTTCTGGAAGTTTATATAGCTATTGTGTTCATACATTAGTTCAAAAATTGTACAGATGTGGATCCTTACAGAACACTCATGTTAGAAAAGTAAGCTAGTTGTTGAAACCTGGTTTAAAGGTGGAAACCGTGTTTAAAGGTTTGAAAGTTGTTGAAACCATGTTTAAAGGTGAATGGTAGAGCCTTTCTGAGAGCATAGGTTCATGGAAGCAGAGTTCCAATTATAAATTGGGACTTCTGAATTCCTACCATGTGCTCAAGTCACTAACCCTACTATCATGTTATGGATTTACACTATTTTCCAATAACTATCTGCTGCTTAAAATCGACCCTGAAACATCCCTGGGGTATTGACTGCAGTTGTGCCTTCTGCATTATCTTTGTGAGAAGATTGTCTCTGTGTTATGTCAATTGCTCAACTAGCTGCTTTAGTAGTTTTCCTGTGTATTAATTTATATCATATAACATCTTTTAGGATCAACATTTCTACATGCGATTAGGGTAGACATTACGAAGAGCAGAAAATGAAAGTCTTTAATATAGTTTTTAGGAAAAAAATTATCTTTTATTTTAGAGACAAGCAAGCCAAGCCCAGTAATCCATTGAGTTGTTTAAGTGAAACAATATTTATAAGAACATTTTATGTTCCCTACCGTGAGCTTCCCATCTTGTTCTTAAATCAGTACAACATATTTTTCTTTGAAGACAGAATCAAACAGGCCATGAGTTTACTGTAAAGTGTTATTAACACTTTGCCAGAAATATGATTTGTATAAGAAAAGTTATACTAGCAGAGAGAAAAACAAAACTTACAAAAACCTTTTTAACTCTACCAGCTCTTGACTTATCATTTGTAGTATATCAAAAGTCAGGCACCTCTCTCCACTGAAAGGCTCACCCAGCCTATGCTTGTCTATGCCAGTTATGGTGATGGCGATAGTTGTTTCAAAAAATTGCAGGATGCTGTTTCTCTCATATGACTTCTGCTCTCTTCCTACCATGTGAGCCTCATATCCAGAGAGTATTTTGCTGAGTAATCTGAACTATGCAAAATCAACCCTCAGGCTTGCAGATTTTGTGTATTCTGTATATCGATTCACAATATATTGTGTATTGATTCGCAATATACAGAGTAGTTATGGGCTCTAACGTAAGTTGATTGAATTCCCTGCGATGTGTGGAAGTTATGTTATACTGGTTTAGAGCCACTTCTGGGAATACTCAAATTTATTCAGCTCAGTAAGGAAATATTCTGACTCAGATATAAGATATTTACCTATAGAGGAAGAGAGGTTCTGCTTCACACAGCCTCTCTAGTTTACATTTCTTCTGTATAGGTTTCTGATGTTTCCTGCTGAAACTCACTCTATCTATTACAATAATCCTTTAATAAGATTTAGATAATTAAATAATTGATCTCTTTACAAAAAAAAAGTGAATTCTTCCTAATACTGTCACTGCTACCTGTTGTCACTTCAAGTTGTTAGAACTTACACGAAATACATGTGGAGGTAAGAGAAAGTGAATTCTTTCTAATACTGTCACTGCTACCTGTTGTCACTTCAAGTTGTTAGAACTTACATGAAATACATGTGGAGGTAAGAGAAAGTATCCTTTAAAATTTGATGTCACTCCATCCTGTCTGATAAGTGTTGGGAACCATAATGACATTTTGATGGTGAAACTGAGCAAATGTGCCAACAGGGTGTTGCAAAATTGAGGTACACGCAAAGGGGATCAACCACAGAGGCTTCTCCTTTGATCTTGGATCCTTTCCAATCCATTTAGAATCTTAGCCTCCAATCCACATATTAATAGAAATATTAACTGTAAAGCAACTGTAATTAGCTAGCAAGTAGGGTGGAAGCTCTATCCTCAGTGCAGTGCTTCAGACATATATCGCTTCTGGGAAAACGTGACTGTAGTAAACAGCTGAGTTCTTAAATTATTCAGTATCATAAACCAGTTTCTATTGAGAAAGAGTTGTACCCAACTTCAAACTCAAGCTATAATCATGTTGTATGTTAAATAGTTTAGGATCAGTTTTTGCTGCCACTCTGGTCAGATACTGTAAATCCTTCTGCTTTAGTTTCTGAGAAAAACAGCATGGACACTTCGGGAATAAATTCAGAGAATGGAGCTAAAGTGGCTATTTTAACTGCAATCTGATTTAGGTCTGATATGAAATAAATCAATTCATTTTCAAAGAAATTACACATCAGCGACAGCTGCACCATGGTAAGAATACAGCATAGATTTGCTTTAAAATGAATCCAACATCTTTAAAGCCTTCATGTGGTACTATTATACCAGTGGATGCTGAGGAACCTGGCCTCATCCTGCCATTGTTAGCTCTGGAACAGAGTTGGGAAGTGTGATGCTGAGACACCTCAGTTAGTTGGAGGTGAGCCAGCTTTGATTAGGATGCCTTGGCAGCTTGGCAACTGTGGTCGGGCTAATAAGTCTGGCTGGAAGTCGATGTTTATTAGCTCTGATGTACTGCTAAGGTCTTGTGGGCTATATAGTGTCTTATTCCTAAATTGGAAGGTCCACAATTGTGCTCAGCACGTGAGTGATTTTGACCTGACATATCTGTTATGCTTTGGCTGAAGAATGATTTATGCTAAAATTTGTTTCCAGGCTTTAAGAATATTTTCAGAAATGTTGATTTTATGAGTGCACATAAATAATATGGGCCTGCTTATGTTGGCAAGCCAAAGAGCATTGTGGTTTGCAAAGCATCTTCAGTTTCTGTCAATACCAGACCAAGTAGTGATTGCTGATTATTTATTAACAGTTCAGTTTCTTAGCACTGCTAATACTATTAGTATCATGATTTAAGGACAAAATCTCTCCCAGGGTCTCTCACCAAATAACACCTTGTGTAATTAATATACTAACTAGACAAAATTTCATGTTCTTACTGGGTAAATGGTTTTCTGCATCCTTCTGAAATTTTTGTGTATGCAACTGTACTGTCCTGTTCTAGAGGTAATGGGTGAAGGAAACCCCTGAGGTAGCTTGCATGTGGATGGACAAAACACATATGGAACCTTCCAGATGAGAAGGATCACATCTATGTGAATAACATGGTTTATGCAAGAGTCTTGAAAATGGTGTTTAGGAAAGCTGCTTATGAAGATCAAGGTTATACCCTTAGGGATTTGATTTTGAATAAGATTTTTTTACTTTGTGTTTCAGTGGCTGTTCCCTCACCAGTGCCAGCTTGTGAACCTGAGCCCAAAACTAACGGGCATAACCCAGCTCCACGACTCTCCATTTCATCCCGAGCCGCTGTTGTTGCTACCATGGAAGCCCCTTCTCAAGGCCTGCAGACAGTCATGAAGTGGAAAACAGTGGTGGCTGTCTTTGTCGTTGTCGTAGTTTACCTGGTGACAGGAGGACTTGTCTTCCGTGCCCTGGAGCAGCCATTTGAAAGCAGGCAGAAGAACACGATCGCGCTAGAGAAGGCTGACTTTCTTCGGGAGCATGTTTGTGTAACTCAGCTAGAGCTGGAGACATTGATTCAGGTAGGCCATGTGAAGAAGACAGTACGTCTTGCAAGCTGGGATAAACAGCTTGGTATTTTTTTGATCAGCTGAATTGGTGGAGAATAAAATTGCTCATAGAATCCTCACAATGGACGGTGTGAAAAACAGGCCCTTTCCCAGTCATTTTAAAGTCTGAGAAATAGAAACTATGGCTCCAAACCATTGTAAATAAAGGTTAAATGTATTTACTAGAATAATGAAAAATGTGTGCAAGGAAAATCAGAACTTAATATCTGGACGAAGTTCTTGTGAGAGGTGACAGATTTGCAAGACACTTGCTCACCATCTCTGAATTTTCAAATGATATTAAATTCTTAATTCTTCCTTAAAAATTAAACACAGCAACCAGGAGAGCAAACAAAAAACGATAGGTGGGAATTTTGAAATAAATATTCAGCCCAGAATTCTGAACTCAGTGTAAAATATTACTTCACAGGTTTACTATTGTGAATTTTAGGTAAATGAATGATGATAAAGTAGCAATTGAAAATAGAAAATAATTGGTATTTAAGAACTACAGAATTTTTACTCCAGTCTAGCATGCAAAGCTTTAGAATCCATTTTGAAGGAAGTAACTATCAGGTATGTTGGAATAAGTGGAAAATGGAATAATGTGCAAAAAGATCTACCAAGGTTAGAGTTATCTTTCACTGATTAAATCTCTTGACAAGGAAAGTTATTATGGATGTTAGAAGACTCCCATCAGTTGCCTGGATTAAATAGAGATTAGGTAAGAAATGTGAGATACCTAGGGTGTATATTCCAAAGCTGAACTTCAGCCTCGTATTTCAGACCTGAATTTTTGTCTGAGTTTTCCAAGAGCACAATGTGTTTCCCTCTGGGGTGTCACACCAGAGTGGTGCTGGGATTTCAGTCTGTTTGAAAGAACACAGAGCTACCCCCTGGATTCTTGTATCCATCAGCCCAACTGTGTTATAAAGCCCTTTCTGTAAGTGAACCAAATTTATTAGTTTAGCTTTTTTTTAAGAGGCTGTTCCAGTATCTCATTGCTGTAATGGAAAAAGCATTCTTCTGCTTTTCAGCTTAAACTTGTTCATTTTCCTTGTAGATGGTGTTCCACAATATCCCATTGTTTAACTGATTCCTCTTCCTTGTCCACATGTTTAGACAGCAGTGCTCTTCTGCCTCTTCTAAGCAAAAAAAAAATATTTCTGTGTCTTTGCAGATAGATGTGGGTTCTCCCTGTTTGTGGCCTGTGTTCACAGAAAGACAGGTCAGTTCTGAGTCAGAAGCTGTGTACCTGCACTTTTGGGCTGCCTACTACTGTAGCTAAGAAGCCAAACCTGCTTTAGCAGGAAGTGGTATTGTGCTGATGTGACTGTACAGCTTTTGGATCACGGCTGACCTTGATCACATCCTTCATCTGTCTGCAGAAGGCAGGTGAACATGTTCAGTTTTCAGGGTGAATTCTGTTCAGGGCTGTCGGATCAGACATGCTTCTCATGGCAGTGTTGCAGAGATCCTTATTTCCCTCAGCTCTTCAGGTGTAACGTATGCTGCCTGATTCAAGGATTTAAAAAAAAACACTAAAAGCAAGATATTTGTATTCCCTTGATGGGAATGTCACTATTAAAAGGTCTGTAAAATGCTATCTTTTCTAGCAGAAAGCAGAGCACATATTAAGTGCAACAACCAAAGCACCTAAACAGGGTGGTAGACTCCTGCATATCAACTGCAGTGCAAAGAGTTTTAAATAGCCCTTATTCTGTGCTCTCTAAGTTACATGCCAGTTTTAATTCTTTATTTTACACAATTTTTTTTCTTCTCTCACATCAAAAGTGGTGACACTAAAATAAAAATACAGGCATATTGTGTCATTAGAAGGCAGATACTCTGAAAAAATCTTATCTCCTGAGATTTCAGTATGCCCTCAGGCATTACACTGGGTAACTGGAAATCATTTTGCAAAGGTAAATTAAATTGATTTAGCAGCTTAGCATGTGAATGTCTTAAGGCCAAGTGATGTGAAATATTGAAACAGATTTGTCAATAAAGAACAAGTTCCTTTGGATTCTGCTGTAAGTCTGGGTGTGAAAGTGGCTCCAGGGATGTAATTTGGTATGCTGATACAGAAAACTCTGATTATAACTAACTAGCACAGTATAACAGTGAACCACTGCTTGAAGATAATCTCATAGGTTTAACACTGTGCTTTCATGCCTTCATTTTGATGATCTCAAAAGTGACATCTCCCTGGGTTTAAACCACGACACTGGCACAATGCATTTCTACATTGCACCAAATGCTGCGTCCGCCTTTGCAATTGTGATTTCAGACTGATGTGGCAACTTTCATGGGTCCTGGCTGCTGTGCTGTGTGCAGTCAGCACCTGGCTACTGTTAAGGGAGCTGTTTGTAATTCATGTTACTTGGCTACCTGGAAACATTTAGATGAATACGGATCATGCTCTCCAGAATAACTGTTGCGTCACCTCTGTGCTTTGGAGAACATGGAAAAGTGCATTCTCCAAATATGAGAGACCTTTAGAACCAGTTTATATCCTTTTCCTGTTGGGGTAGCTCTGGAAAAATCTTTTAAGGAGAAGAGGAAAGGAGTGTCATGGTCTTTACAAGGCTAATGATGGATATATCTATCGGTTTGCTTAAATTTCAATCTTTCAAAGGATTCTCCTTTGGAAAATCTGTAAGGAAGTGGCTGAGCACTGTATTAAGCAGCTGTTAAAGTTTACTGTAGATGAGGCATCCTTTCCAACTTGATCTCCAATAACACATCATTGCAAATATTAGTACTGGTGGCACACATGTGAATTGCTGAGTCCAGACTGTGAAGTTCATTCATAGACTTCAGAATCAATCCAGTGATGAAAGAAGTGTGAATCCTTATGAAGTATTTTAAATTTGTATTTATCTCTCGGGTTTTGGTTCAGGTTTGTCTAATACTAACACAATGACAGATATTTTTTTCTTAACAATAGCAAGTGTTTCACAGTGTAGTCTATATTGTCTAAAGCCACCTGAAGTGGGTGTTCTTAACTGTACATTTTTAAAGCACATTTCTGCTTCTGAAGACATTTGTTCGTTATTTAATACCTTACGTGATCTACAACTTGAGACAACGGTATGAGACAACTGGAATGAGAAAATGACAAAATTGTGTGTTCTGTTATTGGTTTTGCTATTGTTCTTACATGTCATAGCAGAAGCTTATTAGTAGCTGGGTCAAAGTCATCTTGCCTTTGTGAAAATGCACACTTAGAGTGTATAATGGGGAGGTTGCACCTTTCAGAAAGATCAGATGTTGTCTATCATTAGGAGAGGTAGGAAGGAAGACCATCAATGTGTTTTGGCAAAGTAATTCTTATGGACCTGATAAAGGTATTCATATTCTGTTTCTATGTAGGCTGCACACTGTGTATGGGTAAGAACTTTTGTAATGAGCCTTGTTTTTGTAATAAGCCCTACACAATGATGTAAGAGAGAGTGGCTTGCCACTGTAAGAATTTACTTAGGTTACTGGGGGGCCTTCTTCTTCCTTTTCCTTCAGGTTTAATTTAGGAGTGTGAGTGATTATAATATAAAAAAAAATAAAGTATCACCCACCTGGGAACTAGTCATATTATCAATGTCCACTAATGACTACAGCAGTTCGTTAGAGTTAGACTGTAACTGAAAAGGAAAAGCAGAGCTGGAAATAAACTATGGAGGCTTAACTGGCTTATTATGTTAGTAACAGTTTATATTTTGGATAGGCACTTTTGATTAGTGTTCTGAACTACTTTTGCCTAAGGTAAGCAAGGAAGGGAATACCTTGTAAAGATGTTTCAGTTTTCAGCTGCCTGCCAGGTTCATGAGCCAGCTTATCTTTCCCGGTTGTTAACTTGTAAAATGAAGAGAACTTGGATGGTTTTCATGTGATAGAAGAAAGCTCTAGAAGGAGGAGGAAAAAAACATTGTTTTGAGTTAACTCTGTGTAAGGCTTGCCTGTAACTGAAGACAGGAAAAGACTGTTTCAACTGTGAAGCAAAACGATGACAAAGACCTGATTATTGAAACTTTTGCATGTGCCTCTGCTGTTGTCTGCTATATGTCCCTACTTCCCTTCTGCCCCGATCTTTGTTTTACTTCATTTCCCCATAAAGGATATGAAAAAAAAAGAATTCGTATCTTTTGGGTCATGTATAAGTTGGTGCAGTTACCCTAGTTTGTAACTTCATTCCCGAGCTAATGAGCTAAGCTGTTTGGACTGAGATCTCTGTGCATGTCTCTTGTTGAATGCCGTAGGTCTGCCCTCAGACATAGTGCATGCACGACAATCAGATTGTTATGGGTGGAGATAAATCACGCTCTGGTCGATTGTCACCTAAAGACTTTTATGGAATACACAGAAATATTTAAGGGATGTTCTTTCAAAGCTTACTACTTTTCATTAGACTTGGACAAAAATTGCTGGCCTCCGTCTTTTGAAGGTTCTGTTGTGGAAAATGAATAAATGGGCATTTATGAGGGTCCCTTAATCACTGGTGACAATAATTAGAGAGGTGGAGAGTATGGAGAAAAGTTATTAAGGAATTAGTCTTTAAAAGCTGCTTGCTAATGAGAAGCATCCTACTCATTGTAATAGAGGAACATCAGAGCATGAAAGGCAATTGAAACAACTGTTTGTATGCTTGATAGGAATCTGCTTGGAAATGAATTGTAAAGGGAGATAATCATTATTGGATCAGCATGATCTGTGGAGAGGAATTAATGGAACTACAAAGAAGACAACAAGATTTTTCTTTATCAAATTCCTATCCTTGGTTACACATAGGGTACATCCTTTTCATAGCTCAGCACTCAAGAAGTGTATTGTTATGCTTGTCCTTGGAAATTATTTGCTGCTTTCGTGCTTGGGATGACACTGAAAAATTAAAGAAACATAAGAAAGTGAACCATATAAAAGCCTTTTTTTTTTTCCAGAAAAAAAAAACCAGAATCAGTCAAGTAAGCCTTTAAAGCAGAGGTTCAGTCTTAATCCCAGAATTTAATTTTAGAGGCAAAAGATGTAGAATTTAATACAATATGGAAAATTGTGCAGAGAGAACTGGTTTATATAACAAATTGACTGACACCTCAAATCCTAGTAGTAAATTTTACTTCCTTTAAAATCTCAAGATAGATATATGAAGATAGCAAAAGAAAACTGCCTTGCATTGGTTTAGGGGGCCTATAAAGATGCTGGGGAGGAACTTTTCGTTATGGACTGTAGTGGTAGGACAAGGGGTAATGGGTTCAAACTTAAACAGGGGAAGTTGAGATTGGATATAAAGAAGAAGTTCTATACTTTGAGGGTGGTGTGGCACTGGAATGGGTTGCCCAGGGAAGCTGTGAATGCTCCATCCCTGGTGGTGCTCAAGACCAGGTTGGACAGAGCCTTGGGTGACATGGTTTAGTGTGAGGTGTCCCTGCCTATGGCAGGGGGGTTGGAACTAGATGATCTTAAAGTCCTTTCCAACCCTAACTATTCCACGATTCTGTGATTCTAATACACTTTAAACATTTTCTTGATATAATTGTTCTTAATTAGCACTCAAGACACCTAATGCATCAGCGAAGTTTGGTACTCACTTGTGTACCAGGGACAATGAGATATGTGAGTACCCTGGCACAGTGAGGACTACCTGTACCTCAGGGGACAGGGAGCTGGCAGCTGTGGACCCCACTGGTGCCAGCCAGGGAGGATAGCTGGCTGGGGGCAGCCAGGGCCATCCTTGAGCCCAGACTATCAGGCATCTCCCCAGGTGAGGCTGAGGCTGGATGGCTGGAGGGACATCAGCCCATGGATCAGACCCCAGCTCAACAGAGCCTGTGGCTGGGCAGGGTAGGGCTGCAGAGAGCTGGAGTCTGCCACTTGTATGGTGTTGTGGGTGCAGGAACTGAGATGGTGAAACCCCAGTAGTTGCTATTTGGTATAAGGGGAATATTATTGATTTTACCCATAGAAAAGAGATACTGTTTTGATCTTATGTTGTGGGGGGATTTCTTGACACCCGATGGAACAAGTTAGCATTCACTGTAGCTTTCTTTGGACTTTGAGTCCTAAATGTTAAGAACTAGGCAGCCCAAGGTAGGCCCATGCCTCATAGACTTTAAATATTGCTGCCTGAATATCAACAGGTGGAACTGATAAAGCCTATTCCAGATTAAGATGGAGTCCAGATTGTACTCTCTTTGGGAATACAGGATTCAGTCATCCCAGTATCACCACATATCCTGGACTTGATGTGGGCTTTGCCTGCAGTCCCATGCAGATTCACCAGATCACATCTTTTTGGTTACAGAGAGACCAGTGTGCTGATACCAAAGGGCCCAAGAGTAAAATGCACATTTATACAATGATGGGGAACCAAATTGAAAAGAGTGACCAGAAATATATGTTTAAAAAACATATAATAATATAAACTCAGCAATACTGAGTACTTGATTTACTTTGGTAGTTTTGTCATTTCCCTCACTCATATCTGCCTATCGGCTTTAGGACACACACATTACTTGAACAGCAAGAAAGACAATTACAGCCCTTTGAGTTATTTGAGGTTATTGCCTTCCCTGAATGGGTGGCATTTCAAAAGATAAATTACCATTGAATAATAATTGCTAATTGAAGAAGAATGCCTTTTGAATTCATAATTAATATTTAAAGAAAGTGCACTTTGCATGTAATTCCCCCTGAGAAGGAAGAAAGAAACAGGAAAGGAGTAAGTTTGCTTTGATGACCTGTTACTTTTGATGATACTTCAAGTATAAAAATACCTGAAACTACTAGTTTAAAATGTCTTAAATGTGGAAAGTTTGCCATCAGAGTGCACTCTGGACTCTAGTTCTTTCTCTGCTCCAAGACAACCTGAGGATGCAGATCTTCAGGTCATGCAAAAAAGCCTACCTGTAGTTTCATGGATGGGAAAACGTTGTAAAATTTCATGGTCTGTGCGAACTGGGAGAGTCTTGCCACTGATAGTCTTGCTGTTGGACAATCTTCATCTAGCAGGATACTTCTGTGTAGGTGGACTTGTGGCGGTCGTAGTAAGGCATCCTTTACTCATCCCATGACCTGAAACTGCATATTTAAGTGCTGCTAACTGTAGGGCTGCTCTCTTAATGCTCCCTTTCTGTCCTCCATGATGTATGCAAAACATTATATATTAAGACCTAGCATTGCGAGAGTTGGATATTTATAATGAATGATGTCAGTCAAGCTTTAAAGAAAAAATGAATTTGTACTGGATGAAAAGGGAGCCTGAGAAGCTCAGAGCTACCTAAGGCAATGGGACACTCCTTAACTTCAGGGGTTAGTGCTTGGCCCTAACAGACTTGCTGAACTGTGTAAACTCAAATGTGATTAAAGTGTTGTAATTAGCAAGCTGACATTCACACACTCAAAGGGAAGGCAGGCAGCATACCTTGGCAAAAGTAACATGACGAGTAGCTAACAGTGTGTCATGGCCTATTTAAACAGGCAACCTGTCTGTTATGCTGATTTACACTCTTCTGGGTAAACAAGTGATCTCTGCACTCACAGTATGCCAGCAACTGGTGCAGAAGCCCTTTCAAAGAGTTTGGTGCTAAACACCTCCTTTCTCTATATCCCTGTTTCTTCAGGTATGGTCAGGTGCTGAGGAGCCCTGGCTTTCTGCCCACATGAAATGCAAACAGCCAAGTCTGTAGCTTGCTCATACTGTAATTTCACAATCAGGTTAGCCTGGCATGTAACAGCATTTATGTTAAAAAAGGCTGTCCTGTACTTATATCTTTAGATATACCTGGCCTTTGTTCTTACTCAGGCCCCTGTTCTCCCACTGAGATCCCTTTTTAATGGGCAACATGATGAATAACTAAAAACTGGGGAGCAGATTAGATGAAACTGGCCTAAGGAAAAAAATGCAGTAGAAGAATATTTATAACAATGAAGTCAATTGGAAATATAGGCAAAAAATGAGTAAGAAAAAGTGCAAAATGGAAAGGGAAGAAAAGAAAAAATGTGATAAATGAGCCACCAGATGGAAGAAGTGTATCATGAAAGCTAGGGATAGAAGAGGTGTCAAGTGGATGTATTTAAATATCAGTGCTAAAATCACAAAAGAATATGAGGTTAAAGAGAATATCAGGAGACAAATTGTAGAGATGAACAGATGAGAAGTGGGGCAATAGTAAAATGGTTAACTTTGCACATCAGCTGTATAGAAAAGGGTGAAATACAAAATCACAGTGACAATTTGTAGATCACAATTCAGAGGCAAAAGAGAAGATTTTGTTATAGAAGATTTTGGTTATAGAACTGGAATGAGAAAAGTCAGAAACTTGCATTGATAGGTGAGGATTCTGTGTTGAACAAAGTCAAAGAAAGAAAGGATGTGAAAGGCAGAACTTTACCTCTCCTGTTGAGCCTTGGCAATAAGTTCACTGAAATAACCAAGGCTAAAGACTGGTGGCAATATTTAGGAGGAGGAGCAAATATCAGAGTGAGAGAGAAAGGGAAGATCTGGCAGTATAACATCAACATGAAGTGAAGTTGGAACAGAAATGGAGAAAGGCTAAGAGCTGGAAATGGTAAATGGCAGAGAGAAGCTTGGTTCCGTTTGCATTAGTTTCATGGAAACTAATAGAAACAGAGGGGAACATTTGGGAAGGAGAGGTTTACTTTGAAAGGCAGTCATTTTTAGCTCCTGTTCCATAGTGAGGTCTGAATTTCTCTCTGACAGGCAATAGATTGCATGAAATTGACAAGTAACTAGACAGTATGTACCAAAGGGCATCTCAAAAATGAACTTGAAGCAACTGAGCTGAATGTGCCAGCTGGTGATGAGAGATTTATTTCTGTGCTTTGGAGGCTGATGTATTTAGCTGTATTTTCCTTTGGACTGTGAAGCTGCAATGAAAAGCAAGCGCGTATTTCTCCATGATACAGTATGGTTCGGTTTTAGAAATCCCCAAGCAAACATTCAGCAGGCTATGTCTGCCTGGTTTGATTCAGTGCTGTGTGAGACATGGGACAGTGCCCAGGAAGCAGTATAGCTACCTCAGCTTCTGTTCTGGATTTTTTTCATTGAAGTACTAGCTGGGAGTCTCTGTACCATGCTGTCTGTAGACATGCAATCTTGCCCAGTGTGGCAACTGGGAATTCCTAGCTGATTGTAAAGTTTTTTCATGATGTTTCCATAGCTATCTTATTCCTTCATTTCAAATGGAATATATATCCTATTTTTTCTTTAGTTAGCATAAAATATAAATAACTTAATCAATGATGAATTGTCTGGGAATTAAGATTCTTGGCTGACTGGCTTCAGTTGACTTCACAAACATTATTTTTATTTACCACCCTTCTTGCTGCCTCTAACATCAGCTGTTCTACTGGGGAATTTTTCCTTTGGCATTTATTACTTTGAGTATGATATTTATGGATCTCTTTGTAGTGTCAGTCTTCTTCTTAATAGTTTTGTATCTTCTGTCATTTGCCTATGCATTGTACCTTTGTTCCACCTTAATAGCTTATAGTTCAGTCATATATTCAGCTCATGTGTGCAGAGGATGCTACTGTAATTTGAGCAGGTATTAAAAAGTTTAAATCTTACCTGTTCCCATGGCCCTAGAAATTTCCCTCTGGAGCCTATACCAGCTTGCATAGGATATGGTAAAGCATGCATAAGGCTGATTTGTTGTCTCTTTCTCTGCAGCATGCTATTGATGCTGATAATGCAGGAGTCAGTCCCATAGGAAATTCCTCTAAAAACAGCAGTCATTGGGACCTTGGAAGTGCCTTTTTCTTTGCTGGAACAGTCATCACAACTATAGGTATGTTTATTGTTTATCTTTTCAAATGCATAGTCACACTGAAACCTGGATAAGAAATTAAATTTGAGGAAGGTGAATAATAAAGAAATGAAGTGGCTGAACTCTGTTTCTCTCAGTTTTCAGAAGGCATGCCTCTAGTATGTATCAAAGGTATTGAGCCTCGGGGTAAATATCAGAAACTGTTCATATAACTACGGTAGAACAGCAATGCTGAACTGAAAACAAGTAACGTTGTAACTAAGGATTTATAATCTGTTCTTGATCTAGGTGCAGGTGGGCTTAATTTTCACTAGAAAGATCAAGAACCAGTACCCAATGAAATGACCATTCTATGGTTGTTGGAAATTCGGATTTGAATATTATTGATGAATTTACCTGTAAGGTAACATTTCTCTGTATTAGATAAAGGGTATATGGAACTGATCCATTTACTTTTCTTGAACCACTAATTTCAGTAAATTCATTATTCAGTGAACCTTATCATCTGTCCCAACTATATATTATGTCCTATATATTTAGCATCTCTGAATGCTGGCCTTATATACACTAAGGTTTTTATGCTTTCCTTAGTGAGCCAGTACCTCTCTTGAAGATTGTTCAAGTATCTGGGATTTCAGAAGATGGTCTGAAGGAAAAAAAATTATAAACTCATAACACTGATGATAAAAATCTCAGAATTATACAGTAGTTGTACAATTGAAAGGTTGATTTCAATGCTGTCATGGTTAGAGGTCAAAAGATCTGATTATTTGGAAACCACTGGCAAATTTAGCTTTTTATTTGCTTTGCCTTTGAGTATTCTTCTGATTTAAATGGTGGATAAAGTGCTTCTCCATGTTACAGCTGTGATGCACACATTGGTGACTGTATAGAAAAATCTGACGATCAAATAACCCTTCAGTAAAGTGTGAGAATCTGACTGAATTCTGCAAAATCTTTATGCAGGTAATAAGTACAAAAAACCCCAACAAACCCAACCTGTGGCAGTTACAAGACTTGCTGTGGTGATTATCTCAAACAGCGGAGTCTGTGCCTTTGGCTCTGCCTTTTCTTTGTTGTTAACGTGAGGATGAAAGAGTGATTGTATAGAGCATACTCCTCCCTGTGTTCCTCTATATACTAAACTACATTATCATGCATTTTTAATGGTAGCATAAAAACAGTGGATAGTGAGAAAGAAAACATTTCTGAATCAAATGTAAGAAAACCCTTCCTTAATATTTGTTTACTCAATAGATCCAAGTGACAAGCTTTTAAATTACTCATTAAAATAAATGCCACCATGTAGGCATAGTTTATGTAGGCATATTCATTGGCATCTGCTATTTAAATAACTTACTGAGAAGAGCTTGGATTTCTGCTCATATTTGCTTTAAGTTCTCCATGAATTAAGTTTTTATAGGCTGCATAAAGTCTATATATTGTGTCTGGGCACGAAAATGATTTTATTTTATCCACCAAAGCCCTGTTGGGTCTTCTCTTAGACTTGGCAGACTACCTGGTCAACTTCAGTCCATTGGCCTGTGGCGCCTGGATTTTCTGGGACTTTTAGGAGAAATATGCGATCACACATACAGCCATAAAAACAGCTGTGGGTTTGTGGGGAGGCAGTGCTCTGTGTCAGCATAGTGCTTTCACTATCCCATGACAGAGAAATATGTCCAATGCCAGTGCTACAAACCTAACAGGATATAGGACCTGGGAGCCCAGCCTTAGTTCCCAATGACTGGGAGGAATTGCTGTAGATGAAGCAGATCTACATCTCTCTCGGTGTGCTGTGTTTCCACTTTATTTCAGCAGTGATTTGTGATTGTGTGATCATTTTTAATATTCAAATAACTATGTGTAATCAGAATACAAATCTCTGTAACATTTTCATAAAGGTAGCTGATCTTAAATAAAAAGGTGCAAATTTTACTTCCACAATTCCTGTTTACTCTCTCTAACACTAACATTTTAACAGAAATACCATGGCTACTGGAATCATGATGCTCTATGTAGATTTGAAAGTTAAATTCACATGGGTAGTGTGGGAAAGCGAAGTGCCTGAGCAAACTGTGGTGTCTACATGTATTTACTGCATACGGCACGTGGAGAGTTGCTTTTCTACCAGTGTCCGATATTTCCAATAATTTATCTGGAGTTACAGGGCTGGGAGTTGAAACCAAATGTGCCTAAACACGCTTGGGCCAAAATGAGAGTTTTTCACTCAGGATAGGCAGCTGAATAATTATGTGTTAGTCAGAACCTGTCATCTGTTCAACAACCTCGGGTTACCCTAACAGAGGGTGTAAGGAAGGCATGTATGCACCTTTATTATGACATCAATACTGATTTATATATATAAGTGGAGTAGGATGTTCAGAGAAAAGGCTTAAAAACTTCCTTGTTGAAAATTATTAAAAAGTGTTATGAAATTGTAGGATCAGAATGGTTTGGGTTGGAAGGGACCTTAAAGTTCATCTTGTTCCAACCCCCCTGCCATGGGCAGGAACACCTTCCATTAGACCAGGTTGCTCAAAGCCCTGTCCAACCTGGCCTTGAACACTTCCAGGAATGGAGCAGCCACAGCTTCTCTGGGCAACCTGTTCCAGTGCCTCACCACCCTTTTTCCTAATGTCTAATCTAAATCTACCCTCTTTCAGTTTGAAGCTGTTCGCCCTTGTCTTATCACTACATGCTCTTGAAAAAGTCCTTCTTCAGCTTTCTTGTAGGTCCTCTTTAGGCACTGGAAGGCTTCTCAAAGATCTCCTGGGGCCTTCTCTTTTCCACGCCGAGCACCCCCAGTTCTCTCAGCCTCTTACAGGAGAGGTGCTCCAGCCCTCTGATCATCTTCGTGCCCCCTCCTCTTGACTTGCTCCAACAAATCCATGTCCTTCTTATGCTGGGGCTCCAGAGCTGGACTCAATACTCCAGGTGGGCTCTCACCTGGAGTAGAGGGGCAGGATCACCTCCCTCAACCTGCTAGTCATGCTTCTTTTGATGCATCCCAGCACATGGTTGGCTTTTTGGGCTGTGAGTGCATACATTTCTGGGACATTTTGACTTTCTTGTCAATGAACACCCCCAAGTCCTTCTCAGGGCTGCTCTCAATCCATTGTCTGCCCAGCCTGTATTTGTGCTTGGGATTTCTCTGACAAAAATATAAACATTAGGATCTTTATTGTCTGAATAAAGAGTTCAAAGGCAGATTTGTGACGCGTGAATACAATTGGGGTAACTAGTCAGTGTTATGAGGGACAGAGTAAATTACGAACTAACCATGGAAAACGAGCCTTGTCAGGTGAATCATACCCCCATCAGGAAGTCGTTGGCACAGTCCAAGAAGAGCAGCAGTGCACAGGCACCAGGCCAGCACAGGGTTTTTTGGGCCATAGTAAGGCAACCTAGATCAGTTAAACAAACAACAACTTTCAATGGGACATGAATCTGTAGAAAACATGGGTAACTGAGGCTACAAGAAGAACTAAATCACAGGGGGTAGCTCGCCTAGGAAATGCCATCATGCCTTGGAAGACTGTAAATAGGAATTACACGTGGAACAAAGGTATACCTGCAGAAGCAGCAGTTTTTCTAAAACCATCAGTTTTCCTAAAAAAGCCATGTATAAGTCCTGAGAACCTGACAATTTTTTCTCTCCTCAGGGTATGGGAACATGGCCCCAAGCACTGTTGGAGGCAAAGTTTTCTGCATCTTGTATGCCATCTTTGGGATTCCACTCTTTGGCTTCTTGCTGGCTGGGATTGGAGACCAACTTGGAACCATCTTTGGGAAGGGTATTGCAAGGGTGGAAAAAGTTTTCAGAGTAAGTTCACTGTCAGTTTTTTGTTTGTGTTGTATAACTTGCTTTTAATTCTGTTGCTATTACCTGCAGTCCTTTTACATGTTCAGCACCATGAAATATTTGCATGTCTAGTTGAGATGATGCTTAATGTCCTTAGGGGCCTCTGCCACTGCCCTGGCAAGTGCTGTTTTGCCAATTTGCTGATGGCTCACTTTAGGGATTCTCTCTTTGAAGCAGAACTTCTAGAAGTGACCTGTGTGATGCGTCCCTTGGAGGCAGAGTAACTGGAGGTAAGTCTTACCAGGGAGGGAAGGAGACGAAGGCTTTTCTGTTGGCACAACAATCTTTTCACCCAGTGCATTTCCTTAAAAGCCTTTTTCTTGCTCCATTTCATTTTCTTCATTCAACAGTATAACTGTGAGCATGGACCTTGTGCCACACAAGGGACAGCTTGCCCCTGGCAACCCTCGGCATAGCTGGAAAGATGAAAGGAAGATTCCTCCCAGAGGAGTTGTCCTTGTGAAATTCTGCTGCCTCTGACACGACCTCTGTGGGGCTCCACCAAATCTACATTAATTAGCAGCACAGATTAGAGCCTAAGAATGCCACATTTAACTATTGCAATGATCAGCCCACACATGCTGTAGGAATTTTAAGAACAATTTGAACTCTATAAATGGGGAAAGAGATCAATCCATATAAAATACTCTTTACCCCCACAATATTAACAGAATATTTCAGCAGAGGAGCTGGACACATGCCACTGCTCACCTTGTAATCCAAAATGTTGGCACAGTTTCAGTGTGCAGATAACCAGGAAAACAATGATTCATTCGTGACTAGGTAAGGCTGGAAGTATTTTCCTACAAAATATTTTGTTTTAAAGCCAGGAACTTTTCATGTTTCATTTTAGGAAAGGGAGGCACTGGCAGAATGATGCTGGTACCCCAAACACCACACATTGACTAGTCTATGCCATCTGTCCTGCAGGAGTAATTATGTTTGGTACAAGAAAATAAACATGAAGCATGTCAGAGATGTAAACCATAGCTTCTCACCCCACAAGCCCTGTCTACTCAGCTCCTGATTATTCCTGTATGTCCCATCTTCAGTAATCTGGGGCAGAACCTGGCTACTAGTCTGCTCCCACAAACATATAAATGTGATTCCCCAGAAAATGGATGTGTCTAGAGTCACCATATCCACTGGTCACAAAGCATTCAGTATTTGGGTTCAGTGGTGAATCAGTTCTCCCAGCTTACCTGAGAAAACCATGTACGCACTCAAAATCTACTTAAAAAGTTGGTAATTCTTATAAATGATTTTCATCTGGCAAAACTTTCCAGACACTGCAGGAATTAAATATTCATTCCAAGGTGTCATAAAACCCTAAAAGTAGCAGTTATCTTACCTGTGTGAGGGAACTTACGAACCACCTGAGACTGTTTCTATAATAAACAGCAGAACAAACCCCATTCTTTTGGCTTGCTCTGTACACACAGAGGCTGCAAGCATCCAAGATAGAAAGGAAAGCACTCCAGAGGCAGAGTACACAGTTACAGAATACAGCTGCTGTCATTATAATGACTAAATATAGGCTAAATTCAGATAGTCTTTATTCAAACCTTGTAACAAGTATTCAGATTCTCACTGGAAGTAGATGGGATGAGCATAACTGACATATCTTCCCTCATCGTGCAGTTTTGTCTACATACATTCAGACTGGGCATAACATGCTTCTGAGGGCACGCCAGGATTTTCTGGCTTCTGAGGTGAAGCAACTGTGAACAGTTCCTGCTTGGTTACTGCTTTCACTCCTCTGGCTTACCCCAAGACACTGAGGATAGGTATGGCAACACAGCTGGCACAGTGCAATACAGGGATGTGAGTGCCAGAGATGTGGATGATAGCAACACTGCATCTCTGAAGCTCATGTCTCAAGAAAATAGACTATGTGCAGAAATACAGTGCCTGTCTAAACAGCTCACACTTCACTGAACTTCATCTATAAATCGATGGGTCCGGATGGAATACACCTGTGGGTGCTGAGGGAACTGGCGGACATCATTGCTGAGCCACTCTCCATCATCTTTGGTAAGTTGTGGGAAACAGGTGAGGTGCCTGAGGATTGGATGATGGCAAATGTCACAGCAGTCTATAAGAAGTGAAAGAAGGAGGACCCGGGTAATTATAGAGCGGTCAGCCTTACCTCTATCCCTGGAAAGGTGATGGAACAACTTATTCTTGACACCATCTCTAGACATATCAAGGATGAGGGGGTCATTAAGAGCAGCCAACATGGCTTTACCAAGGGGAAGTCATGTTTGACCAACCTTATAGCCTTCTATGAGCAAGTAACTAGGTGGATGGATGATGGTAGAGCGGTAGATGTGGTTTTTCTTGATTTCAGTGAGGCATTTGATACTCCCACAGCATCCTCATAGATAAGCTAAGGAAGTGTGGGCTTGATGATCAGGTAGTGAGGTGGATCAAGAACTGGTTGGAAGGAAGAAGGCAGAGAGTTGTGGTCAGTGGGGCAGAATCTAGCTGGAGGTCTGTGACTAGTGGAGTCCCTCAGGGGTCAGTGCTGGGACCAGTGCTGTTTAATATTTTCATCAACGACCTGGATGAGGGAACTGAATGTACCCTCAGCAAGTTTGCTGATGATACTAAACTGGGAGGAGTGGCTGACACACCAGAGGGCTGTGTTGCCATTCAGCGAGACCTGGACAGGCTGGAGAGTTGGGCGGAGAGGAACTTGATGAAATTCAACAAGGGCAAGTGTAGAGTCTTGCATCTGGGGAAGAACAACCCCATGTACCAGTACAGGTTGGGGGCTGACCTGCTGGACAGTAGTGAAGGGGAAAGGGACCTGGGGGTCCTGGTGGATAGGAGGGTGACCATGAGCCAGCAATGTGCCCTTGTGGCCAAGAAGGCCAGTGGCATCCTAGGGTGCATTAGAAAGGGTGTGGTTAGTAGGTCAAGAGAGGTTCTCCTCCCACTCCACTCTGCCTTGGTGAGGCCGCATCTGGAATATTGTGTCCAGTTCTGGGCCCCACAGTTCAAGAAGGACAGGGACCTGCTGGAGAGAGTCCAGCGCAGAGCTACAAAGATGATTAAGGGAATGGAACATCTCTCCTATGAGGAGAGGCTGAGGGAGCTGGGACTCCTTAGCTTGGAGAAGGGGAGACTGAGGGGTGACCTCATCAATGTTTACAAATATGTAAAGGGTGAGTGTCAGGATGATGGAGCTAGGTTTTTGTCAGTGATGTCCAGTGATAGGACAAGGGGCAATGGGTGTAAACTGGAGCACAGGAGGTTCCATGTGAACATCAGGAAAAATTTCTTTACTGTGAGAGTGACAGATCACTGGAACAGGCTGCCCAGGGGGGTTGTGGAGTCTCCTACGTTGGAGATATTCAAGGCCTGCCTGGACAAGTTCCTGTGTGATGTACTCTAGGTTACCCTGCTCTTGCAGGAGGGTTGGACTAGATGATCTTTTGAGGTACCTTCCAACCCTTAGGATTCTGTGATTCTGTGAACCAGGGACTTGTAAGAACAGTCACATCTGCTACCTGTCTTTCAGCTTAGAGAACCTATTTACCTCTAGATTTAAGAGATATGTAATGAAAATGATGCACATTTATTTATTTATTTATTTTTATTTTTTTTTCCCCTGGAAGGTGGCAATACGCATTACCTTGAAAGAGTCTTAGGAAAAGTAGCTCTTAGTTTGAAGATGGGTCTGGGGCTGTGGCAGGGTTTAGAGAAGTCCCACTGAACTGGTGGAAAGCTTTCTTTACTCAACTGTCAAAGCCTTATCTTTCCTTAACTTTTTTGTTTGACTTTCTGAATACATCAGACCTACCCTAGCTACTCTTCCTCTTAGAGATTCCACTTCTTTTTAGGGATTTTTGGCTTCTCTGATTTCATTACTGTACAAGTGTCAGTATCGTCTTTATAAATTCCATATCTGAAAATGGATGGAAAACAAATTCTGGGAAAGAAACTTTGTACAGAAGAGTAACTGTGCAGAGGATGAACACTAAAAATAGTATTTTTTCTTTGTCTCCCCTCTGTCTATCCATGTATTCTATTATCTCTTTCCTTGTTCTCCCTCCTCCTTTCCCTTGGCTCACATCAAACCTGTACCAGACTCCAGTGCGGGACTGGTGTATGAGTTCTCAGCAAAAAATCCTTTTGAGGTTTCCTTAAAGTACCATCTTTATTTCTTCTTTCCATAGGGTAATGAAATAGCCCAGGGATCCCAACTGCTTCATGCCAGGCAGCTCCCACCCTGCATATTCTCTTCCAGCCCCCTATCAGCATCAGTTTTGGCAGCTGAATCAAACTTTCAGATGAGATTATTCCCAAAGCCAGAAATTTAAATCCATATCACTGCCTAGGTAAACTAGTGAAATCATTCTGGATCTGCACTCTTGTTACTGAACTCAAAATCTGGTACATGGTTAATAGGTAAATGGGTTACAATCTAAGTGATACGTTAGCTAGTAAGGTCCTATTTGTAATTCTGAATATACCGCCGGACACCTGCATTTCTGAGCAGATTAAGTTAATGGAAGATTGATAGAAATGTTTCCTCTACACTTCCTGGCATCTAATCAAAATAAACCAAAAGCCAACATAACCTCTTTTTATTTCCTTTTATTGTTTTTCATTATTAGCCATCATCAGTGTGTATTACATCAGCTGCTAAAAACTCGCTGAGGAAATTAACACCCTGACTTTTCTTTTTAAATGTAGTATTATTCATTGTGTTTTTCTGTAAGGAAAAAAGCTATAATTTAACAACAACAACAAAAAAAAGATAAATCACTCAAGAACTTCCACAGGGGAACTGTCCAGGGCAATGATCAATCTGCCACCTGCTGGCATGCTGTCTCTGGACAGAGCTCTCAGAATGGGTGTGAAACTCAACCTACTGGTGCATACAGCATTATTCCAAAATGATACAAGATTCATGAGTGTAATTTCAGTGTTCAGAGCTCAGCCTTACAATT